CAGCAGAATACGTCCTAGCACAGTCACTCTACTAGGAGAGAGTAACTGTGGTCCTAGTACTAAACTAAGTGACTTCTAAAGACTGAATGGTGTTTGCGAACTTCGTATTAGTTATAAACCGACGTCAGCTTCACGTTTATATCACCATGGAAACAGCCAAAAAACATGTTGCTTGTTTTTGAGCGGAGTGGATCGCCAACCAGCCTACCGGCTTGTTCATTCTTTCAAATGCTTTCACATTATGCAGAATAACATTTGTGAATAGCAATTATTTATAATGAAATCAATACTATCAAGAAGACAATAATATGTAGCCAACATCGTTTTCCTATAAAGACCTGAATTTTATTTCACAAAAAGTTGGTTGCAATTGGTTTATCTACTTATTTCATAACTGCCCACCTGCACATGTCGTTATTTCCTCACCCTCACTATACAGTACCAGCTCTGCGATACGATTATCCCTTACCCGAACAACTCATCGGCCATCGTATGTGATCTCATGTATGTCCACATCTAACTTATTTTGTGGGTTTCAAACTCCAGAATTTTATATGATTCGAGCTGCATTGACATCTGACATGTTATTCAGACTTATTAGTGCCACTATTATAATTAAAAAAAAATTGTACATTGTGAAATTAAATTAATTTCATAACTTATCATGAGCCAAATATTCCCTAACAAATAATTTAATTTTGAAAGATATAACTAAGACCACAATATTATTTTGGAAGGTGTAAATTCGCATTCCTATTATAAGGTTTTAATTGTAATTGTGTTGGCTACCAGAAGGCGCACTGACTGTGATTCATCTTTGATAAGTTCATTACTATAGTTTCCGAGATACTGTTGCCATATGATAGGGAGCAAACATAGAGGTCCATAAGTATACAACTCCTCTCAACAACTGTTTGGCGTATTCCAGTCCAGATACGGTATCTGAAATGAAGTGAATACACACATAAAACATTACAGCATACATAGAATACTTGAAGAGTGGTGGTAACCATGCTACATTCTGTTTGATATGGGAAATATCATTTGTAAATAAAAAATATACTTTTATATATTTTTTTTCTATATTTTTTGTTGTGCCAGGCGATTGAATGTCACTGTTGTCTCTCCTGACTTTTTTTTTTGTATGTGCAAATTGCAAGTGCTAGTGACGACACATATTCATGTCATACCAAGTCATATTCATGTTTGGGACTACATGACAGGGCTGTGCGACTGTCTTCCTATCAAATGGCAGTTTAATGCGCTATCCTGGCGTCAACCAGGCTCGGTCGAACGCAAGCACCTGTGGACGTTAACCAAGGTACCCCCAAAGTCGCATTCGTCAGTGAATGAATCTCGGCCAGTGGAATTTGCCTTCCCATTGAGTCTGTGGCACACTCACCCAGGGTAGGGGTCGATCCTTTTGATGTTCAGCCAAAGGTAGGATTTAAACTTGAGTCTACTGATCATGAGTCTGATGTGACAACCACTATGCTACTAGTAATTTTCTATGGTTTATGCAAGTTAATTTATTGAGCTGTACATGAATTGGTGTACAAATTATAATGTACAGGAAGATTGCCGGTAGAGCATTGCTATACTGAAAAGTATGAATTGCAAAGAAAAATGACACTAGAGTGGGAAACTGACACTTGCTCGCACTTCATCTACACTTAATATTATCCACGCCACCGATATTTTTTTCAAAGTGGTAGTGGTGTTGAATTTTTAAAAAATGATGAGAATCAAAATTCCCACTGATGATTTGTGAGAATTATCAAAGCAGGATCTCACCGAACGTCTCCATTCATTTAAACTTTCACTTTTACAAATATTCACATTTTTCATGGTCTCGCACTAATTTGTCTTTTCTGAATTAAAAGCAGTTTACAGTCTCCTTATAAAATAGGCACAGTATATACTAGTAAAGAAAACACCAGTAAACCTATTTTAATCTTCATAAAATGCAGCGTTAGGTAACCAGCCAACCAGGAATGAAATGCATAGACTGTTGCCATAACAACAACCCCAGTACTATGTCACATGCAGAAGACGATACTCACCAAGATTTGTTTTAAATAAGATAAGATATAGGAAAACAGCCACCATAGAAAGATTCTTGACAACAGTAAAATGCAATGGTATAAACTTAAAAACAACCTGTCCCATTTTCTTTACCACTTCAGTAAATGCACCAGGAACTGAGGAAAATTGACAAAAAAAAAATAGTAGATAGAAAAGGGAATCATAAACATGCATGAAAATCATCGCTAAGACTTACTTAGGAATAATAAACATGCATGACAATCATTGTTAAGACTTCCTTCACTATTTTAATTGTATACTGTAAAAAGTTTATTTTGGTGGTATTCATTTTTCGTTGAAAAGACATTTTGCATGTTTTGCATAGGGTGGGGGGTGGTGGTGGCTGGTGTGTCAGGGTTAGGGGTGGAGGAACCTCAAGGAAGATTTTCCCAATCATTCAACTGTATGAAAGAAGCACAGGAAGAATTTCCAGTTAGAATACTTTGTGATTTTTTCAACTCGTAAAATAGATAGTAATTTCTGTTAAATATAGGACCTGTCAAATACTGCAGTCTGCAGTCACTGTATCCTTACCCTCTTTTTTCATGTCCTGTTCATCAACTTTCTTCCTGTTTTCCTCATTAATTGCATGTTCAAATTTCTTTACAAATCTAATAAGAGCTATTTTCCTCTCCGTATTGATAATGGCGTCCTCGTCGGCCATTTTCACAGCCTCGTTGCATTTCATCTGTGGTAGCAGTATATTAATGATGTACAGCTCTAGTATTCCTGGGTAAGATGATGAGGCTTGATTGCGAGGAAACTTCTTCCATTCCTTGAAAACACCGTCTGCCATCTTGAAATTCTTTATGTGACCGTACATAAGTATGCTAAAAATGAGGATGACACAAGTACCTAAAGTGACTGTTATAGGCACAGAAATACATTGTATTATAGGATAGGAGCCTTCCATTAATATTTAAAATATAATGTTTTCAAATGTTTAATGCCTCCAACCATTTGACAAAATAAGCATGCCTCATTGGCCTTTGGCGAGCCAAGTAAAAAACTGTTATGAATTGTAATTTTAAATATTTGTGAGGAATTATTTTTTTGCGTTCACTCGATTATATTTTTAGCATACATATATTCTAAAATAGATTTTGGTATTTCTATATTCTGCGCAAAACATTAATCTCTACTGAAGTAGATACTGACTGTAAAATACTTTATTTTAGCTGGAATTAATTTTCACTGAAAAAGCTTTTTGGGTGTTTTGTATGACATTTATTTTCACCGATTTTTGAAAAGTTTAATGTAAAATAAAGAAAAAGGTATATTCGCTGGGTTTTATTGAATCATTTCTTCAGTGAAAATAGCGAAAATTAATTCCAAACGAATATAAAGTATTTTACAGTATTTAATTTTGCATTTGTTACATGGCAGCACTTTATTCATTGTTACAATAATTATGCATATCATTTTTTAGCCAAAATTAAACATGTTTGTTATCCCTAGCTGTGCTATTTTTCTTGCGATAACAGTGAAAATTATATAATCCATTGATAGATCTGGGTTCGTATGTAATGTAGATTTCATTCAGAACATGTGATTGGAACATCAGTTTCCCTTAAAATTTTGATAATTTTATTCAACTTTGTTTTGATCAATAGCTTGAAAGAATGCACTGCAATTCGTAGTACAATTCACAGTTTCCGAATTGATGGCATGTTTATCATTTGTGCGCTTGTGCATATTACGTGACCTGAGGTCAACAAACGGGAAGTTAATCTGGAAGGTAATACAGGAATTGTATAAACAGAAATAATCAGCTACAGCATCGTACATGCAAAGTACTAAGATACAGTATCATAAATGCGAAATAGATTCTACCACGTGAATGGTAACCTAGAAACTAAATTATTTCTCCATAGTGATGAAGATGAATGCATTCCTGAAACCAACAATGCACTGTAAAAACTTATTTACAGTATTCCTGATATAACAAACTGTGTATCTGAGGAGTTGAGAAATTTGTTTTTAGCAAAAAGTTTAATCACAAATTGTAAACAAAAAAATGTTTTTCATTTATGCTACTCTTAACTCCTGTTCATTATACAGCTGTCATGGAATTTTTTTTTATCCCTTTCAAGTTTTCAAATGAAAACTCCTAATTGTTACCTTTGGCTGGTTTCACAGTGGGTGCCAGAAAAGGGTGCCCAGAAAAAATGCTATAAATTGGGGTAATCATTTTGTATCAGACTACTTACCAAATTTGAATAATTTTCAATGGAAAATGTCTGACACCATGGTAATGAGCTTTCAAGAATGGTAACACTTCCTCATGGCGGTTTGTTTCAGCAAATGCCTGTACAGCAAGGATACAAAGTGACTCTACCAATTCAGATAAGAAGTACCTGTTATGAAGATATTGGTAATAAGAATATCAACAATAAATAAATGCATTTTACTTTTTACCACCAGACTTTCTTGCCCACATTTTTTCTGCACTTTTTTCTTAATTTTATTACTATTTCTGAAAATGAATCCTAACTTTAGAGCAACCAGACAAAATTTGTGTCACTTTTAAGTTTTTACTCAAAAAATTTAGCTATTTTTGTCCCAATCTTCTGAAGGATAGTGCAGACTATAATGGGATTATTTTATGAATTTGTGATGAAAAGAGGGAACTGAATCTTTTGTCAGTTTCAGTCATATTTTTTTATGTTATGCTTAACTAAAATAATCATCTTTGTGTTCTATGCATAATGCAAACAAAACCTAGACAGCTCGAAAATAAATATTTGCTTAGGTAATTAATATGCACCGATTTTACCCTAAAATTAATCAGGTCTGTGCATTGTCCTTGAGCATCTATGTACCAAGTTTTATTGATGAAATGTGATGAATAGTACCGGTACTTGAGATATCAGTGGAAAAGTCTTCAGCATTGTTTCCAGGCAATTGTATGCAGAATCTTATTGAAATGCAATAATTGGTTTTTGAGATATAGGTAAAAAATTGTCCTCATGCAAATTACTTGATAAATATGCCAAGATTTTCACTCAAAACTAATCAGTTCTGTGCATTGCCAAGAGCATCTATGTACCACGTTTCATCAAAAATGAGTTATACTTTAGATATCAGTGGAACAGTCATGAAACAGCTAAAAATTAGCTAATTATCATGCAAATTAGGTAATTAATATGCATGAATCTAAACCAAAACCTAATCAAATCTGTGCATTAGCCCAGAGCATATATGCATCAAATTTCATCAAAAACCAACATATGGTTCTTGACTGAGATATCAGTGGAACAGACAAACAGACGGACACAACCACAATAACTGAAAAGATTCCCATTGTGTGCTTGACATGGAAATTAAACCAAATTCGGCAACAATGTTGAGCATCACTGGTTAAATTTCAAGCATCACGAGCATATGACATGTATTAAAGCAAGTGTCCAAGTGTCACGTATTCCAATTTTATTTAAGGATTGTGAATGGGTATTCTGTAGTTTGTTTGGCATCCACTCTATTGTCTACTCTATCATTCATTATACGATACTTCTTGTTAAACTCATAATTATTCATGATATTTAACTAGATGTTCGCATGAAATTTAATTATGAGCAAAATTTGCTCCTGCAAAAATAAGATACAAGTGATAATATGGTATTTTACAGTACCTATTTAAAAAGAAGTACTTTGCATAAATGGGTCATGTGAGCTATTTAATATGCATAACTGTAATATCTCAAGCATATAATATATCAGGGACTCAAAGGCATCAGACAAGAGAATGTATGAACACACAAAGCCCAGTGTTTAACGATGTACTGGTAACGTTCGGTGTATTCACACACAAAGACGACAATCAGGATGATATTTCAATCAGATTGAATTACATTGTTTCACATTGCATCAGTATCGCAATGCTTGACCTGTGATCCCAAATGTTAAATGAGGTCTGGGGGAAAAACAGTGGCACCCAGTGACGGTGGAAGTATCGCACAGAAGTTTATAAATTACCACTGAATTATGTTTTCTTTTTTATGAATTTTGATTTTCACATGTATTTGTATTATTAATATTGTAATGGTTATGGCAAATCGTGATACTGCCCTCAAGATTATACATTGATTGATAATATAACTAAGTTTTGGAAAGATTAATTTAGTTATCATAACCTAGCAACCATAACCTAGCTTTTGAAATGAGAAGACATACTAATCCCAAAAATTCCCAGACCAATTAAACTCCAATTATTCATTCATTTATTGCAAAGCACAGATAAGAATATTATCAAATCTGTAAGAGAATTTATACACAAAGCCTTCTCGGTTACAAATGAAAAACATCTTATGCACGAATGGGTTTTATATTTAAATTTATTGTTTTTTATTGCTGTATACTGATAGGAAATTGTGTATTTCTAAAGATGCTGTAAAGACAGAGAAGGTAACCATCGACTTTACCAACATTACATTTTCGGGGGGGGGGGGCTAATGAAATCCCTGCTTGAAATATTGATAACAGGGAGCATTGCATTTTTTTTAATTAATTTTTCTTGCAGGAAACTTAGTTTAAAACTGGTTCCCTCAAATCTTCCAAATTTCTGTTTTATTTGGACACCGCTAAATTACAGTGTGTCAATTTGTTAAACAATTGTAAGCTTGACTTTTACAAGTGCTCTAAAGAAATTTGAATTTGAACAATATTTAGAAAAATTTTTAAATAAAAATCGTAGAATAGCTTATACTAAATTTAGAATTTCCGCACATTCTGTTCCCATTGAATCCAGTAGACATAAAGACATTTTGAAGGAAAACAGGCTATGTAATCTCCATGAATGCAATGAAGTAGGGGACGAGAAACATTACATTTTATATTGTAATAATTGTCAAATCAAAGAACAATGATCTAGATTCCTTGCCGCCCTGTACATCTATGCCCAAAGTTGTAAGATTTCAGCATGGATGAATTATTTCTAATTATTGTTTCAAGTAATGATTCTTTCATTCTCAGCATTTTTGCAAAATTTATTTTCTATATTCTTGATATGTTTTAGTCCTGTATGTGTTGTTGTCCTGGATGTTGTTTTAATTTGTTGTTGTACACGTTCCAAATACAATTATATTATACTATACTATATTAGACTATAAAGTCATAAAATACCCCTTACTTCAAGCTGTTTTCGGAGTCTTCACTCGGATCTCCCGAACGTGCAGCAAGTCGTTCGTATCGTTCGACTTTAACGATAGCATCTCTGCAAGCACACAGCACATCCTCAAAGTTCTGGAACATTAAAAGTTTGTTAACTTTCCTGATGACCCCATTAAATTCATTCCGACATTCCAGTTCTATCCCAGTTGCCATATCTTTAAATGGATGTGTGTAACAAGCAAATCAAATCATTTTTTTTTTCACTGCACAACAACCTACAATGCAAATGCAAACACTATAAACGCAAATACGACATTTTAGTGCCCGTTACGATTCAACACCAAACACCAAAGAAGGCGATGCATGCGTTTCACTTCCTGTTGAGTCCCTGGCAAAATGTAAAATTCCAATATGACCGCATTAAGCAGTAATATTTCAATTTAATAATGCGATACAATATCACGTATTTGTGACTTTAGGTATTTTTGAAGCAAATATCTCGAGGCATGAAAGCCAACAACTGAAGGTACGTAAGAGTAAACCTACAGGTTAGCCAGTTTTTGTATTTACCCACAATGCCATTTGGAATGAGGCGTGACGGACACACAGACGCCAAATAGAGACACCATGGCTTCCGCTAACGTACAGATTTCGAATGCAGAAAAGGTATGTTTTTGGCAGTGTTATTCTTCACCTTTGTATTTCAAACGATTTGTAAATCTCATATAGTATACACTATCTATGGGAATGTAGAATTTGCGTTGATTTTAAGCGCAACGCCCGATAAATGACTGGCACCGGTAACTTCCTGTTTAGTCTCGTTTCTCGCACTTGTCTTGTTTCTAAATTCGTTGCTTTTCATTCGTCTGTGGCATTTTGCATAAATAGAACTACGTAAACATTATTATTCTGTTTCGAAGATTGTCTTTAAGTATATTTTCTATACCAGTTAATTGTTTCATTTGAAAAGTTCGATCGGTACCCGTAAAATCTTTTTATTAAATATTGAGGGCGCTGTCAAAGGTGATAGGTGTTTTGTGTGTGTGTGTGTGTGTGAATGGGCGTGTTCAATTTATTCAAGAGTCATTTCCCCGGTACCTTGAGTGATTACCATTTATGGGCAAGAAGAAGCACAAAAACAAATATATTAGTACATGTACGTTAGCTTGAATGATCGTCAAGCTTGTGATAAGATCGAACATTCTTGGTGATCAATTAAATACAAATCATATCACAAGTAATTACAAAAACCTTACTGTTATGATATTTACCCTGACTTCATTATGGTATGCACTGTCACTGATTTGTATTGTACAATGCAATGCAATTAGTCATTTCCTGCTTATCATTTAATATCATCTTAGCCACATGTCTTGTCATGCTTTTGTAACACTAGTATTCTCGGCCGTGCAACATCTGCATGTTGTATAACAAACAACTAAACAACAAAATGTTAGGTACCGGTAATGTCATTCTCTCTGAAATCATGTCCATTTCCCAGCCATGTAAACAAAGTGTGCAATCTCTGAAATTTGAATATGCATTTTTAACTATAGTATAAAGTAAATTACCCATTAATGATTTGTATTTCAACCATGGGTTTTGCCACACTTTCCTTAGTTTGTGAAGCCTCCACCCCCAACTTCCAAGGGGAGGTCAACAACAGAGGGTTATTACATTCAGCGAGAATGCTAGTAGAAGAAAAACCAGTTTCAATGTCCTTTTTTTAGTGCACGAGGAAGTTAACTTCATTACACTTAGATTTATTGTATACTTGAAAATATGACTTATTTGGACCAGCCATTTTGTACATAGACTCTGATACCTGTCACCTTGCACTACTAATTGAACATTTACGGTGCATTGAGATGCGAGTTATTAAAATTAATCTGTTGATGCCATGAATTGAAGTTAACAATAAATAACTGACTGAATTCAATCTTTGTTCATGGTTACTAGTAACCGTACTTTGATGTATTATGTTCCCCTTCTCCTTCACAGGACTAAATAACATCATTGCACTGTTTTGCCACATGTATTATAGTTCACCTCATCTCGTAATGACAAGTTTTCTTGCTGTAAATGTACAAGAGTGTGTTCTCATCAACTTTGTTTTTAAAAACCATCAACATTTGATTCATTCTTGTAATTCACCTAGGTACGAACAGCTGCAGATTTTATAAAACATGCACCCCCAGGAGAGTTCAATGAAGTATTTAATGGTGAGTTGTTACTTTCTTGTTGTATATTTTACTAAAACTCGTAAATTAGGTCAATACTGATAAACACCATGCATTTTCAAAGGATATATCGTTTAGTTTGTAAAATCAATGATTTTTCAAATTTTTATTTTCCAAAAAATTGTTAATACAAAGTAAATTGTCCACTCATATATGATTTCTCTGATAGCTGCATCAACAGAAAATAACTTATTTCCTCCTTTGTTTGTTGAGGTCATTGCTGCTTCAAAGGGGTGGCAGTAGTAGCAGCAACATATTCTGTTTTGTTCTGTCACAAAAGGTGACTTCTTATTTCAGTTAAAAGCCCATTTTTATAGCGCCAAAATTCTTTACAAAGTCGTGCTCATTATTACCCTATTTATCAATTGGCCATATACTTCAAGTCAAATTAGTTTAACTTCGGCTAGCTCTCATATAGGCGAACATTCCATACTAGATTCCCGTTTACTTTTTGCTAGAGAGAGTTGTGTACCTTGCCCAAGGATACAGCGCTGTGGTATTGCCAGAACATAAACTATTAACCCTGTAGATACAAGTTCTGAGTGATGTCCCATATTGCCTTTGTTCTGTACGAAACAGTTGTCACAGTGTGGTTGCTTGGAGTTTGGTGTCTGTGTATCAGTTGATGTAGTTATTATTACGAGTACTGAACATTATTTTACACATTACATTGGGTGAAGAAATTCAAATCGTATCGTAATGTAATGTAAAATATTTCCTTCCTGAGTGCTGAACATTGAAATAGATTGAATGAATGTGACATTGACGACTTAACGTGTCAATTTTAAATGTCAGACTGATACACCTGGAATTACGACAGAATCCACGTATGGGTTATATCTCAGGCCAGATCCAGAATTTTATTCTATACAATTTGTTTCTTGTAAAATTAAAAAAAATATATAAACCAGCACGTATAACTCAAGGTTGACTTCTCAACAATATAAAACCTCATGCTTACCAAAGTCCATTCAATTTGATGATGTTTTCTATGTGTGTTTACAAAGGAATGTCACGATTTATGCATTGTCAGATTTGATTCATATCATACGAATGAGTAAAAGATTTTAACCTTTTCACCACCAGACTTTCTCGTCCAGATTTTTCAGCACTTTTTTTTTTCATATACTGTAAAATCTGTATTAGAAACCGCGGCTTCTATTAAAATGGAACAATGCAACAGAGAGGATGCGGCTTCTATTAGAGCATCTACACATATGAGAAATGGTGAATTTTTGGGTCTCAATTGTTCAAAAAGAATGGGTGCGACTTCTAATACAGATTTTACAGTACTTCAATATTTCTAGAAATAAACCCTAATTTTGGAACCAACAAACAAAATTTGAGTCAATTTTCAGTTTTTATTCAAAAAATTTCCTATTCATTTCCTAATCTTCTGAAAGGAAAGGCAGACTATAATCAGGATTATTTTGTGGATTTGTGATGAAAAGAAGGAACTGGTGGTGGAAAGGTTAAGCTTTAATATGTTTTGATAAAACCGTTACTGGTACGATGCACTGTTAGTATTCATACATGTAATGAGACAACAGTAAACCTAATTTTATCAACATGTTTAAAATTTTCAAAAACATTTTATTCTCTTGCTATAAATGATTTTCATTTCTGTGCATGAAACGTTAGTACGAACTAAAAAAACACAATTTGAAACTGCGATGACAGTCAGGTCGTAAATTAAAAAGATGTGTTTAATAATATTCATTAGAATATAAATTGGTGTGTGAATTAAAGACCGTGAATTAATTGAGTTTTTACAGTAGTTGTCAGGTCAACAACCTCTAATGGAAATAAGTCGGAAAATATCTCGCTGTATATTCTCTGCACTTCTGAAATGTACACATATTTATAATGCCAGGATACGATATCTGTGTCATGATTGTTGTAACCTCTGCATTTGGTGTTTACTATGTTGTGCAAAAGGAAAGAAAATTGAAGTTCATATTATATCTCTAATTCTATCAGTTTTATTGTGCCAAGAGAATGACAAAATGCGACAATATATAATTTGTTTTGGGGGTCAGAGCACTTCAACTTTAGACTTTGGCAAAGCAAATATTGAGCACTGTCCAAGCGTAAGGTGTATAGTTACTTTTTGTCACTGTGAAGCTTCGTCGCATTCTTTATTTTCAATACAATGGAAAAACTTTTGAAGGCAACTAAGAATTTCACGATGAATTCTTTTGGTGTTGGAGGTTTCTATTACAGTTGTGGTGTTGAACTTTTGAGAACTATAATCATTATTTAATTGGTGAGATTCGTACTTGTGCGTAGAAGTTTACACAATGACTGCAAGTTTTAATGGTACATGGAGTGCATTTTGCCATAGAACTTATATCTATGTTTGAGTCTACCTAACAGCTACATGTGTTTCCATTTTACTGTCATACATATGGCAAGTTTATACACCATCCTGGTGTCAACCAGGTCTGGTTGAACATATTCACCTGCAAACTAAACTTCCTGCAAATCAAATTGCATTGCATTCATCAGGGAAAGGTTCAGTTCTGTTCCCTTGAAATCTGACATACATGTTCATTTTGTACATGGTCAAGGTCAAGGTCATCCCGTTTTAGGTTTTCAACCACAGGTGGGATTTGAACCAGGGATGTGCTATTCATGGGTATTGGCAGCACAACCACTGTTTTGATACAAGTGATGGAAAACTGTGAGAGAGTGAGAGTCAGACAAGGTGTTAAATCTTTCCGATGGTCATATGGCATTTTAAAATAACTCTTTATTGCTTCCTCCAAGCAGTATACAGTCGTACCTCAATTAACTCTTTGTTCTAAATTGAAAAAGTTCAATTTAGTGTTTAGATCAATTGATCATATAATGTAATGGATCCATGGAAATAGTTTGGGTAATTGTGATTTGACTCGAGTTTGATGAAACTGTACTTTGACATTGTATAATATCTTGTATTGACGTATATTGCAGATGTGCGCATTCTACTAAATGATGACAATCTTCTCAAAGAAGGGGCTTCCAGGTGAGTTACTTTGGCTTTCTTCTCAGCATTTAGAACAGTCTGCTACAAAATTGAGCTGATGTTAACAATGTCATAGAGTTGTCAGATTTAACAGATTTCTCTGATTCCACAGTGCCTTTTCCCAATACAATAAGGACCAGTTTACCCCAGTTAAAGTTGAAGGTGCAGATGACCAGGTAAATTTTTTTCATTAATTTATTTCAGAGTACGGTTGCGTGTATGCTTGTAATACACCAGTTATTTGCAAACCACTCAAAATTATCCTCTCTTGTACTGTGTTTTTGTGCATATACCAAGTATCAATCCATTTCAACAGAGAAACGAGGCATTTCTATTATACCTGATTGGCTACCCAGTAATAACAGTCAAACCAATCAGAGAGCAGCTTTCTTGTCAGTGTATCAAATTCTGCCTTGTATGTGGGTATATGCTTTGACATATCACGTATCCGAAGGACCTATGTGAAAATAAGCAATAATTTTATGAACATTTGTTTGGCTTGTCTTTTGACTGCCGTCATTGTCGTAAACTCCTATTGTGGGCACATTTGGATTTGGTCAAACTTGTTTAGTTTGCAAGTTAACCATGTAAGAAATGGCTGGGGAGTCACTATCAACATTTATTATGTATTTGGATGTATAATACCGTATTTATCCGGGTATAAGCCCAGGGTCTTGAACATGGAAAATCGCCAAAAAGAAGGGGTGGGCGTTTGTCCGGATATCCCCGGCAAAAAAAACGAAAAATCAGGGAAAATTGGCAACACGCAGATCGAACTGCGACAGGAAGAAAACGGCAAATAAAAACATGCAACAAAAATAAATGAACAATATGCAGCATTAGAAGTGTAACAAGAAATAATTTATTGCTTAGAATGTGACAAATATTAAAACCAGAAATAATAAAAATTAGAATATCCCCGTCGACAAACACGCCGCCCCATACGCGTGAATTATTTCCGGTTTCGACAATTACCGGATCAACAACCATACAAGATCAATAATAATTTACGCAGTAAAATTACGAAAGTTCTAAGATCTCTATTTGTACGTTCATTGCTATCTTCGTAAAAGTCAAAACCCTGAAATTCCAAGTCGGCGCCACTGTCGCGATAGAACTAAAATCCCTATAGCTTCGTCTTGAAGTTTGTCGATGTCATCCCACACAATTTGGACTTAGCATATTTAATCCACGCATTTCACTGTCTGGTAGTTTGGCACTTTTAATTCACATCTAATCAGAATAAAGAGACAAGAAAAATGGAGTCGCGGCAAACGGCTCACACGATGTCTGGCAATCATCTTTGATCTTTAAGCATCCGCTTTACTGATTGGCTAAGAATGACATCACTACTAGTGTTTCGTCATGGAGGTAAATTCAACATTGCTTTTTTATCAGACTAGGCGTTCGTTCATCAATCATGGTGAAAGTTACCATTCAGCAAGTTATATGGATATCGCGGCGGGCTTGAAATAGATTTTTTTTCCAATGACAGAAGAATAATTTTCATGAAATGCAATAGCAGTGGTGAAAGATGGTAACAAAGTTGGCAGTCTTCGGCATGACATTGCAAAATTGGCCTCAGTTATGGATTCGCAAATATTTTATAAAGCCAGAACAAACGTGCTTCAAATCACTCTCCCAGTTACGGGTTGCTACAATATTGCAACATTGGTTTCATTGTCGGCGACGCTAACTACGTAAACAGTGGTGAACGCGCTGCTCTATTTATGTCACAGCTATTTCGCGTTCACTCATCGTTTTTCGCGTTCACTCCTCATTTTACGCAATTTACATTTATTTTTCAAATTTTTTTATCAGAATCAAAACAAACTGCAAGGAAGTAAACTGTTAATACTACGGACAAAAATAGGTTTTTGTTTTTTTATTTTATTACAGGTGTAGAAAAAACACCCCTGGGCGTTTTCTAGGATATGACCTCAACTCCTTTATTAGTCCCCGTTCGGACACAGTCCGAAAACGGGGACTTATGTTTTGCCCTGTGTGCGTCCGTCCGTCTGTCCGTGCGTCTGTGATCACCTGTATCTCGAACATGCATGGACCGATTAAGTTCAAACTTCACTCATACATCACACCTTATATGGGACATATGCACATGCATTTTTTTCATGATCCGATTAACGAT